TTATTTTAAAAAAAATTTTTTTTAAAATGTTAATTAAAATTTTTAAAAATTTTTTTTTAAATTAAAAATTAAATTAAATTAAAAAATTTTTTATTATTTTAATTGGGTTTAAAATTTTTAAAAAAATAAATTAATTTTTTATATATATATTTTAAAAATTTTTAAAATTTTTATAAAAATTATATATTTTTTAAAAAATTATTATTTTATTAATTAATTTAATTATATATAAATATAATTTATTTTATATATATAAAATAAAATTTTTTTTTATATATTATTATTAAAATTTTAAAATTATTTTATAAAATTTTATATTTTAAAATTTATTTTTATATTATAAAATAATAATTTAAAATTAAAAAAAAAATATTTGATATATTTTTTTTTATTAAAATAAATTTAAAAAAAATAAATTTATTTTTATATTTAAAAATTTTTAAAAATTTTAATTTTTAATTTAAAATATAATTTTATTATATTTTTTTATTTTATATTAAATTTTTTTATGTTAAAAAAATTTTTAAAAATAAAATTAAAATTTTTTTGTATAAAAATAAAAATATTTTTTAAAAATTTTTATTTTTATATAAAAAAAATTTTATTTTTAAATTTTAAAAAATAAATTTTTAAAATTAAGTTATATATATATTATTAAAAAATTTATAATTAAAAAATTTTTTATATTTTAAAATTTTAAAAATTATATAAAATATTTTTTTCATAATTAATTTTGTTTTTTTTTAAAAATATATTTTTTTTTAAAAAATTTAAATAATAAAAATTAAATAAAAATTATATTTATATAAAATTTTAAAAAATTTTATTTAAATTTATATATAATTAAAAATTTTTAATAAAAATTAAATTTAAAATATAAATTTTTATATTATATATTTTAAAAATTTAATTTAAAATTTTTTTATAAAAATTTTAAAAATTTTTTTATTTTAAAAATATTTTAAAATTAAAAATATTTTTATATTAAAATTTAATATTATATAAAATATATTTTTTAAATAAATATTTTAAAATTTTAAATTTAAAAAATATTTTATTTATATAAATTATAAAAATTTTAAAAATTTTAATTAAATTAAAAAAAATTTTTAAAATATTTTTAAAAAATTTATTTATAAAATTAAAATTTTTTTTATAAAAAATTTTTTTTATTTAAAAAATTATTAGTTAAAAATTATATTTTACATTTTTTATTTTTTTTATAAATTTATAAAATTTTTTTAAAGAAAAAATTATTAATTTTTAAATTAAAAATATATTTAAATTTTAAAATTTTTTATAAATATATAATTTAAAAAAATTAAAAAAAAAATTATAAAAAAATAAATTTAAAATTTTTATTATTAAATTTTAATTTATTATGTTAATAATAAAATATTTTTATATATACAATTTTACTATAAAATTTTTATAATATTATTTATTTATTATATTTTATATTTTATTATAAATTATATATTTTATATTTATTATATTTTTTTTTATAAAAAATTTTTATTATATAAAATAATCCCTTTTTTAATAAATTATATAAAATTATATTTTTGATTTTTATATTTATTAATTAATATTTTTAAATTATATATATTTAAAAATTTTTAAAATATAAAATAAAATATATAATTATTTATAATTTATATTTATATATATATATATTTTATTATAAAAATATATTATATATATAATATTTAATATATATTTATTACATATAATTGAAATTTTATATATTATAAAATATAATATATTTATAAATATATAAAATTTTTATATTATATAAAATTTTATATATTTAAAATATTATTTATTATAATTATATAAAAAATATATTCATTTTTTTTTTTTTTTTTTATTTTGTTTATTTTATTCTTTAAATTTATTAATTTCAATTTTAAAATTTTTAATAATTTATTTCATATAATTTTAAAATTATTGGTAAATTTTTAAAATTTTAATAGTTTTAATAAATTAAATTTGGTAAAAACCAATAAATTTTTAATTTTTTTCCCAAAAAATATTATTATATTTTTTTTTATTTTTGTTTTTATTTATTATATTAAAATAAAATTTTTTTTATTTAATTTTAAAAATTTTTATATTTTTTTTGTTTAATTTAATTTAAATTTTTTATTGATATAATTTTATAATATTATTTTTTAATATTATATAATAATTATTTTAAATTTATTTGTTTATTAATTTATTTTAATATTTTTCCATTTTATTTTTTTAATATATGTAAAATTATTAATTTTATTTTTTTAATTTAATATTAACTAAAATTTTTTAAAACTTATATTACAAAAATTTTTTTTTAATATACTTAATTAATATTTAATTATTTTAAAATTTTTTAAATTTTTATTTATTATTATAAAAATTTTAATTAAAATATTACATAAAATTTTTAAATTTAAATTTTATAATTTATTATATTTTTTAAAATTATATATTTTTTAATTGATAGTTTATATTAATTTTTGATTTACATTTATAAAGAGGTATAATTTAATTTATATTTATAATTATATGATTTTTATATGGGATTATTTAATTTTAATAAATTTTAATATTTTATAATTATAATTATGTTTTTAATTTATATATAAAATTATATTTTTTATTATGTATTTTTATTATATTTAAAATTTTATTTTTTAGAATAAAGGGAAGAAAAATTAAATTTAAAAATTTTAAAAAAAAATGCAATAATGGTTTTTTATTTTATCTTTAAATTTAAAAAAAATGGATTTATTTAAAAGGGCTGTATATAATTTATATTTAAAAAAAAGGAAAAAAAGGGGAAAAAGGGAAAAAAAAAAAAAAAAAGGATTTTTGTTGACTGTAATAGGGTTTTATCTGGCTGAAAGAGGCTGTTGTCTGATTGTTATACAGTGTAATAGGCTGACTGTAATAGGTTATTGACTGTAATAGGGTTTTGTCTGTGAGAGGTTGTAATAGGTTAACTGCAATAGGTTGTTTGTAATACGTTACTGACTGACTGTAATTGTTTATTTGTAATAAGTCATTGTCTGGCTGAATTAAGTTGTTTCACACTGTTATTAAAGTTATTAAATGGTGTTTATGGTGATTGATTGTGATGAAAGAGGGGATTGTTGCTATTAATTAGGGTAGTTAGCAGCCTTGAATAGTTGTGAAGAGTTTGAAAGGCTGTTGTAGTGAATGGGGTTAGTAGTAGTAGTGTGGTTGTTGTGGAAAATGGTGGTAGGCTGGTGATAATTTTGGGTAATGGTGGTAGTAGATGGTGGTAGTAGGTGGTAGTACTGATGCTGGTAGCGGATGGTGGTAGTAGATGACGGTAGTGATGGTGGTAGCAGGTGGTGGTAGTGATGGTGGTAGTAAGTGGTAGTAGTGATGGTGGTCGTAGGTGATGGTAGTGATGGTGGTAGCAGGTGGTGGTAGTGATGGGTAGTAGGTGGTGGTAGTGATGGTGGTAGTAGGTGGTGGTTAGTGATGGTGGTGGTAGTGTGGTTGGTTAGTGATGGTGGTAGTAGTGGTGGTAAGTGATGGTGGTAGTAGGTGGTGGTGAGTGATGGTGTGGTGGTAGTAGGTGGTAGTAGGTGGTGTAGTGATGGTGGTCTTTCGTTACGCAATAAACGTCAGAAACGCGACGACTTAATTGTGAAAAATTTGTAAAAAATGAAAAATTGCAATGAATGGGCCTTTTTTTCATTTTTTCTGTTACAATACTTAAAGAAAAATGGATGTTATCTTGATACCGGGACGTGCTAGTGACTATGATAACTAGTACGCACGCAGGAGGCAGAGAGAGAGAGAGGAGAGAGAGAGAGAGAGAGAGAGAGAGGAGAGAGAGAAGAAACAGAGAAAAACGACGAGAAAACAGACCTACTTACATTTTCTAATAATTGGTATTATATATATATATATATTATATATATATATATATTATATATATATATATATATATATATTATATATATATATATTATATGTTCTTTGTTCCATATTATTTAACTTTTTGTGGTGTGCACGAAAAAAGATACACAATTTGACATAAAACACACTAAGTATGTTTATAATTCATGTTTCCTAGCGCCTCTTTAACATTTAAAACTCGCCTACATTATCTTCATTAGCATCTCTGAATTAGCTTATCTAAAAAATGCCGTATGTTCCTATGTATAATATACATTGGAGTGGGACATGTGTATGCATTATGTATTATGTACGCCTATTTAGGCATTTAGGTATGTATACATGAATGTGTATATGGGGAACTCTGTAGTAATATATGTATACTTGTACTTATATACAAATGTATGTGTATATATGGAAGATAAAACCACACATCTAAACATAAAAATATGAAAATTGTATATTTGGACGTCCTACCGAGGTCCTCTTCAGCAGATAATCTACTGAAAAGGACCTCAGCTGGAGGTCGAAATATACATCCATTCTCTGAATTTTTTGACCCTATGCTATAACCATTTACAGGATGTGTGCTGCGTATTAAAAAAATGGTTTTAAGTTCCTTAATATTCTTTTAATCCTAGTGGCATTAATACAAAATTATCCTAATGTTAGTAATTCGTAGTGTTTTAAGCAGCTACAATGTTTATACTCGGGAAGGATATAACGAACATTAGCGTAATGAAAATACCTGACGTTTCGCAGACTCCATCACATGCGTAAACTCTTGGATTAAATGATGCAGATGAAGACTTTCTCGTAATGTGTTAAAGTTAAAGTCGAGGTAGATCTTGTGTGTGTGTGTGTGTGTGTGCTTACTAAGAAGTGTTTGTGGGGAGGCGGAGAGTCACAAATAATCCGTGTGTGTGTGTGTGTGTGTGTGTGTGTGTGTATTTTTTTTGTATGTGTGTGTCTTGTGTGTGTGTGTGTGTGTATTTTTGTATTATGTTGTTGTGTGTGTGTGTGTGTATGTGTACAAGCACATACAACAATGTACTTCCAGCCGTCAACCTTTTTGATCTATGTTTATGCCGGTTCTTGTCTTTTCAGCAGGAGGACGCAGCAAGCCCCGCGACCAGCTCCGCCCGCAACCTCCACTAATTACCATTTTGCGAAGTAATTCTACCATCCACACTGTGGCTACACTTGCATGTGTCAGTGTACTCTGCCCTCCTAGTCTTACTAACCCATTCAACTAGTCTTACTAACCCATTCTACTAGTCTTACCCCTAAGGGGGGCATTTTTTTTTAAGCAGCCTTACAGTAATACCTGTTCCAACATTATCCCCTTCCCTTGACACCCCTCCCCCTTAGAAATACCACTTTTACTTACAAACGTATGTGTAAAAATTTTTACAATAACATAACCAGATTTGAGAAGGTTTTATCCAGTTATAGATTTGTTTACAACACTAGATTGAGAAAGTGAGAGAGAGAGAGAGAAAGAGAGATTTTCCGCCTGCCAGATATTTTCAGGCTCGACTTGTTCAGTTTTTGTTTTGGTTTATTTTTTTGTAACGTGAAATTTTGGGATTTTGGGTTTTTCTTGATTTCTATTGGCATTTGTTGCAGATGTCAACCTGGTTGCTGAGCCAAAGCCTCACCAAATCGGGCGCAAACGACCTAATGTCGCCAAGACGGGAGGTGACTGGTGAGTGTAGTCTCTTTGTATCCCAATTTCATACCAATTTTTGGGGGGGGTTTGCCCCTGCCTATTTTGAAATGTAATTGCTAGAAATCTATTTTGGATTTGTCTATTTTCACTTTTTTTTAGATCTATTTCGAAATATAAAATTCCCCCCCCCCCAAAAAAAAAAAAAATTCCTTTTTAACTCCTTGAATTCTATATTAGATATAAATTTTTACACCAATATCCTTTTAATTTATTATTCCTTTTTTAGAATATAACCCAATAAAACTATTATTCTTACTAGAGATCTATATTCTATTGCATATTTTTCTATTTCCATATTTTTTTCATCCAGATTTTTTTCATATACATTTTTTCTAAATAGAATTAACTCTCCTACCCCAACCTTTATTTATTGAAAATTTATGTTTTGAATAAATCAGTTTTAATGTATTATTTAATGTCTCTAAATTCTTCGTAAGTTTTCGTAGTGTATAGCATACAATTTTTAAGTGTACTTTTGAGTTTCAAATCATGTTTCTTACAAATCATAATATTAGAATTGTGTTTTGTAACGCAAGATGCTAGTTTTTTTTCTCGTACTGGTATATTGTGCATGACGGATACGCTGGTCTGTGCGTATAGTGCCGTGATAGCATCAGTAGTTGCTATTTAGTTTAAGTAATTAGTACCCTGGTTTAGATCTAGCAGAGAGTTGGCCCTCCCTAGGCCTGTCAATATTTTCTCACCCTACGTCATCACCCAGTTTCCTCTCACTATATTTCCCATCTTTTTCATTCCCCACTCCTGTTTCCTCGTTCTCTCATATTCTCTTCCATTTTTGTCCTTCCCATCACCCTTCTTCGTCCTCACCTCTGTTCTTTGCATTCTTCCCTTCCCTTCAGCTCTTCCTCAATAGTCCTCTCCCCTTCCTTAAGAGCCCTCCCCTCTTCCCTTCAGTTTCCCTCCCTTTAGAGCCCTCTACCTCTCCCATCAGAGCCCCTCTTCCCCTCCCTTCAGAACCTTCTTTTCCTCCCTTCAGACCCCCTCTCCCCCTCCCTTCAACTTTTCCTTAATAGCCCTCTCCCCTCCATTCATAGCCCTCTCGCCCTCCCTTCAGCTTTTCCTTAATAGCCCTTTCCCTTCCATAGCCCTCTCCCCCTCCATTCAACCCTCCTTAATAACCCTCTCTCCCCCCCCCATTCAAAGCCCTTCCCCTCCCATCCCTTCAACTCTCCCTTACAATCCCTCTCTATTCCTTCAGAGCCCTCTCCTCCATTCCTCACCCTTCACTGACCCTCTTCCCATCTTCTTTTCCCCTCGTCCTCTTTCCCCTCATCTAACAAAATTAAAGAAAATGTTCGACGTTTTCCTCTCGCGACCATTTACGGTCCAACAAATCTCTTAATAATCAACGAGCCGCCTGAATGAATTAGTTGTAAACAGAAAAAATAGACAGCATAAAACTAGATTATTTCAATTATTGACAATAATATTGTCAATTTCGAAGCTTCCGACTTTATTATTGTCTCTATTATTGCTGATATTGTTTCAGTTTTATTAATATATTTATTACTACTATATAAAATTTTTACATATTGTTATATTACAATTATTTGCAATAATATTGTTATTTATTATTGTCATTTTTCCCGTTACTATCACTTATTGCTGTTATTGACTGTTATTGTTATTATTATTTAGGATGTTCCGTTTATATATTTCTTGTGTTTGTAATGTTTTCTGATGTTTTTTTTAGTATTAACATTGATGAAAATGCATAATTATGTTTTAACGGAGAAGCGCTAGACCCGTAGAGGGCCAAACGCTTCCAGCGAAACGTCGTAAACGAGAGTTGGAATACAAAGTGTTGGAGGAATATGGTATACCTCTGGTATACCTTTGATGAGTTGCGAGAGTTTCTCTACTGCTGGAGCCCGGCCGTGTGCCAGGCTCGTCTGGTGCTTTGCCTGGTTAACCGGAAGGCTGTTGCTGCGGGTGGCCCGCTGGCCTACATGTCCATCACAGCCTGGTTGATCCTTTCGCGATGAAAGGAGTGGTGTGTCTCGTGAGGAATAAACAAAAATTTTGAAAATTCATGTCTGTTGACGTGACTCGTTCCGTGACGCCGAGTCATGTTAATGGGGGAGGGGAGGGTTAAAGCCTATCGAATGCACACGTGTTATTAAGGCTGGCTAGTTGTTAAAGGCGTTTAAAGCCTATCTACTACACGAATGTCATTAAGGCAACTTGGGTAATGGGGTTTAAAGCCTATCACTCACACGAGGGTCATTAAGGCTACTTGGGTAATGGGGTTTAAAGCCTATCACTCACACGAGGGTCATTAAGGCTACTTGGGTAATGGGGTTTAAAGCCTATCACCACAAGAGGGCCTTTAAGCTACGTGTCATCTCTTCGCCACATCTCAAGGTCACTTTAATCTCTAAAACAGAAAGTAAACCAGACCATCAACATATATACACAGAGACATAATACCTCTCAGTGCAGGGTAAGTTTTAGTAATTTGACAGAGACCTTTGGCCGGCTTTGAGCTTTCAGAAGCGAGGTGATAAACTATTAGAATTTACTTGGGCTACAATTAATATATATATATTATATATATATATATATATATATATATATATATATATATATATATATATATATATATATTATATATGTCGTGCCGAATATGTAAAACTGGTCAATTAGCAAGAAACTCATTTAAAATTAAGTCCTTTCTAAAATTTTCTCTTATACGTTTAAAGATATATATTTTTTATTAATGTTTATGTAAAAAAAATTTAATTTTGCACTAAAAGAATCTTAGAAAACTAACCTAACCTTATTATAACAAGCGCAATTTATTTTAGCCTAACCCAACTAAATTTATTTTAAATACGTTTACAATAATTTATTACTAAACAAACACAATCAAATATATTTTTTCGTTAGGTTCAGAATGATTTTTGCTAAATTATTGCATACACAAATTTTCACTTGTCCTATATGGCAAGATGAGCGTTGCTATTTAAGCCAAGATCGCAAGTTCTGCCTATTCGGCACGACATATATATATATATATATATATATATATAATATATATATAAATATATATATGTAGTATTATATATATATAGTATATATGATTATATATATATATATATATTCCTTTTAATTAAGTAAATATTAAAAATATATAAACTTTTGTTGTATTGTATAATTGGTCATTGTTTTATTTCTTCAGAAATATCTTTTAATAATAAAGATAGTGATAATTATAATATGATAAAAATGATAATTATAAAAAATAATGATTATAATAATGATAAAACAGTAATAATAACCAACATAATAATGATAATTATAATAATTATAATAAAAGTAATCATAACAATAACAGTAACAAAAATAATTACAACCATAACTCGAAATTTTAATTCACTTCCTTATGTAGACACCAGGACTTTCACTTTCATTTTGACCAGATGATATCGTTATGCTGCGTTACATTTTCTCTACCCTGGACGATGATAAAATAAAAATAACGCTGCGATCTTAAATATTAAAATCTCCACGATGTTCATGGACAAAAATTTTCAGAGTAGAGCAGAATGTATATTATAGTCATTTTGGTTTTTATATTCTGCACCATTAGCTGAGAGAGAGAGAGAGAGAGAGAGAGAGAGAGAGAGAGAGAGAGAGAGGAAAAGTAAGCTCCCCAAAAAGAACTATTTTTAATTCAAAGAGATTCTCATTTGTTGAGAGTTTATTGAATTTTGCTTCCCAAAACTCTAAATTTGTCAATGATACGATACACTGTCAGGGCGCGAGACAACCTTCTTGTGATCTTGACCTGACAAGATGCTGGTCAACAACTCACTCCCACACCTCTAAGGTTAGAGGTGTGGCAGCGAGTTGTAGTGGTGTGGGAATGAGTTGTAGTATGGAAGTTATAGTGGTGTGGGAAGTGAGTGATGGAGGTGTGGGAGTGAGTTGTGGAGGTATCGGAGTGATTTGTAGAGGGGAGGGAGTTGAAAGTGTGGGCGTGACCTGTAGAGATGTGGCAATTAGCCCAGAATCTGCAACTCAAGCAGTTCTTACACACACACACACACAACACACACACACACACACACACACACACACACACACACACACACACACAAATGGATTCCATCACAAGGTAAATTAGCCGACAAATAGAAAAAAAAGGCCACACATTGTACTCATATTAAAAAGAAAGACGACAGGGGTGGACTTTTGAACTCTAGCCTCGTCTCACTGACAGCCATTGTTTTCAAAGTACCGGAAAAACCTATTAGGAAAAAGTGGATAAAACACTTTGCCACAGATTTTTTTATATATATCAAACAATTCGTTTTTTTTTTTTCATCAGAAAAATTCGAAGGATAAAATTTATGAAGATACAGCAGTGACGTAGGAATTGTCCTGGATGAGAAATAAGTGAAAATAATTCTTTGTTTACATTTTGTAAAATAGGTTGTGAGAGAATTATTTGTCCTGAAAGACATGAATGAAAATTAGGAAAGATGAATGAAATTAAAGTTATTTCAGTAGTTAAAAGGCTTTTTTTTTTTTGCTTTTGTTTTTGCAATGAAAAAAAGCAGTTATTGATAGAAGGAAAATGTCAAGATTGATAAAAGGAAAACGGAAATGTTGATAAAGAGGACAATGTAAATGTTGGTAAAAGGAAGTTGTGAACAGTGATAAAAGGAAAATGAAAGAGATAAAAGGAAATAAAATGTCCTCATGGGGGGGACGCTACCAGAGTGGGGGGGAGGAGTAGGGGAAGAGGGAGGAGCAACAAGCAGAGGAAGAAAAGGGAAGGGGAGGAGTAACGAGCAGAGGAAGAGGGGGAGGCAAAAGGATAGGAGGTGGGAGGGGGAGCCAGAGTAGAAGGGGAGGAAAAGGGGAGCCAAGAGTAGAGGAGGAAGGGGGAGACAGCTTTGATAGATAGGTAATGTAGATTAACGTAGGTGAGTGTCATAGAGATGGAA